GCCGTTTTAATTGCAAAGCCTAAACTACTTATCTAACCCTTTTTAGAAAAAGTTTGTCAACCTCTGTATATGCTGGCATATTTATATTTTGTCATTTATTCATATTGTTTAATACTTTTCTACTTATAAATTCTATGATTTGGTATTTTTAACAATTAAATAAAATATAGATCCATTAAGAAAAAATATTGTTTGGACTTCAGGGTATATAGTTGTTCATAAAACAGATAGATAAACCTTGACTTACAAAGTAAGTATTAAACTCAACTTCTACTGACAAATATGATTGAAAGCCATGCTGAAAGATTTACTTGTCATCATTTTAATGATACTGACAATCTTATAAATTCTATGAAATATCTGGGTCCCTAAGAGTCTATGTTCAGTCCATAGTCTGACCTCAAATTCCAGTTTAAGGAATGCTATGCTAGTATACTCCAGCTACACTGTAGGTTCTGGAAACATATTCAAATAACTGTTTTCCTCTTAGAGGCACATATTAAAAGTGAGTAAATGATCTAGCTAACTATTTTTTCTTCTTTCTAGTATTTTCACCCACACTCCCTCTACTTTATTGTATCACAAAGTGACTTCAATATGAGGTCAAATTTTTATAACAATCCATAAAATGTAATAAAAATGTCCCATGAAATATTGTATAAAGCAAACTTAGAAAACTCTGGCATGATCCTGTCAAATATTACTAGGTTTACTAAGTCTGTGTTATTGTAATGCACATTCAGTTACATTGCCAAGAACAAATATCTTCTTTTAGTCTTGTTTTTTAAACTTTGCTTATTAAGGTGCTTTCTTTAGTTTACTGTTCTTGTTTTAAAAATTATGCATAGTAATTAACATGTTATTTTTTAATTCCTATCTTAATCTCTAAGATTATATCTGGCATTAAACTCTGTTGATCTCATGAATGTTTTGTTTGATCTTTCTAGTAAATGATCATTTGAATAATGATAACATTTAATGAAAAAGCAAGACAACATCAGGAATAATTTTTGTTTACTATCATTTGAGAATGTTGGGGCAAACTTTGCATTTTGGAGCTATTAAGCATCTTTCACATCTTTCCACGAAAGTTTCACTAAATAGAAAAAAAATATTTTTGTGTGGGTATACATGTTGAATTCAGCCAATGAATAAAATTTGCATTTAACAGAAACACAACAGGAAAAAAAATAAAGGTTAAAGGAGAGCATAAATTCTTAGCTTCCCATATTTTACATTCACATCCATTCCTTACTCCCTGCAGCTTAGAAATTTATATTATCTCGGTTAATCACCTGCCTCCATGCAGTTTATAAACAAGTATTAGAGTAGGGGATAAAGATAAGAGAAAATAAACAAATCTAAGTTCAGTCCCTATTCACTCTGCATCCTAACACCTCAAGTAGTTGATATTGTAAATTTCCATTAAAATAAAGCTGATTGGGTTGCAAATCCTCTAGTACTTGGTTAGCTACCTAACATCACCTTGGCCCCTTGGGAAAACTAGGCTTGCTTTTTTAAAAGAATAAAAACAGAGAGCAAATAATTTCTCAAAGTGTCCAACAAGATTTAGAGATGGGATCACAAAAAAAATGAAAAGTGAAAAAGATGAGGGGAATAAGACAAAAATTCAATAGGCTTTTTCTTTGTGTACTCTGCCTATTAAAACTAAAGTCAATTTGGGAATTCTACAATTATCTGATCAATTTTGATAATGCTGACTGTCAGTTGTGATAATTCAAGTCTCCAAGCTACATTGACTATTTATCCAGCAAGGGTGCCATAGAAACTCATTGCCTGATAGATTAGGCCAGGCTACTTAGCAGGAAGAAATTAGGACATGATGTTCTCAAGATTTAGAATTTGCTGTCAGAAATTCTACACAACACCTGACTACCACTAGAGAACATTGTGTGAGGTCAAGTGAAGATAATCCTCTCACCCAAATTCCCATCTTACCACATGATTTTTTGATCCAGCTATCTGTAGTTGATTTCATTGTTGGTATTGTTCCAGTGAATTATGCATTGATGTTTGGTTCTTATCATTTGACAAGCCAAAGTGAAAATGAATGGACATGTTATTTTTTCAGCCCATTACCACTTGAAGCAGACATTCTCACCATATTTCATTCTTATTTCCTTCACCAGAGAAGGAAGGCTGCCAGCTAAAATTCATTCAGAAAGGTATCTTGAAGAAAGTATATGTCATCCTATATTAAGTATGCTGACTTTTCATACTTGGGGAAAATGATAGGGAAATTTCAAGGCAAGCATCTTTAAAATGCCTATTTCTTTTTGGAGGGAGGCTTTTGTAGTGCTATTGCGGGATGGGACAAAAATTCCATGCAATCTAATAGTACAGAGAGAAAATATTTCCTTTCTCTTTTAAGCCTCTGAGTTAGGGAGCTGGCATTTGGGGGCAACCAGTTAAACCACCAGTTAGGACAACCTGTATCTGAAACTGGAGTGCTTGGGGTCAAGCCCCAACTCCACTTCATATCCAGCTCCCTGCTAATAGGCAACCTGGGAGGCAGCAAATGATGGCTCAAGTACATGGGCTCCTGCTGTCCCTGAGAGATCCAGGTGGAGTCTTTGCTCTTGGCTTTGGCCTGGCCCAGTCCTTGCTGTTTATAAGCATCTGCAGACTGAACCAGCAGATGGAAGATATCTCTCTCTTCCCTTCTTGCTGAATTCTGCCTTTCAAATAAATAAATAAAACTTAAGGAAGGTCATAGTTGAGGGATTAGAGAAAAGAAGATACCTGCTTAAATAGATGCAAATTTAATAAATGAAGAAGGCAACCACTACAGTTGGTGTAAAATATTACAACAAATAGCACATGACTAATAATATGAAAAATAATAAATGACTGAAACAAAAACAAAAAGAAGAAGTGTTTAAGTATTCCGCTCTGTCCATGTACTTGTCAGCATTTGTTACTGTGTTTTGGATTTTAGCCATTCTGACAGGAATGAGATGATATCTCATTGTGGTTTGAACACAAGATAGCAAAGAGATACCTACACCACCAGGTTCATGGCAGCACTGTTCAGAATAGGCAAAATTTGGAACAACCAAATTGTCCATCATCGGATGAATGAATAAAGAAAATGTGGTATATATACACAATGGAATATTTTTCAGCTATAAAAAACATGGATATTCTACTACTTGCAGCAAAATGGATGCAACTGGAGGACATCATATTGAGTGAAATAAGCGAAACCAAAAAAGACAAATAAGCATGTTCTCCCTTATATGTGGGAGCTAAAATTTAAAAAACAAATAAAAAAAAGAAAAAAGAAATGTCCATGTGTATCAGTATTGCCACAAATACAGTTTGGAAAAACTGTTTTATACCTTTGTGAAACCAATGGTTATGAATGTTATACTACTATAGTTTTTTTTTTTAATTTTTTTTGACGGCAGATTTTAGATAGTGAGAGAGAGAGAGAGAGAGACAGAGAGAAAGGTCTCCCTTCTGTTGGTTCACCCCCCCAAATGGCCAAATGGCCGCTACAGCAGGCGCGCTGCGCAGATCTGAAGCCAGGAGCCAGGTGCTTCCTCCTGGTCTCCCATGGGGTGCAGGGCCCAAGCACTTGGGCCATCCTCCACTGCCTTCCTGGGCCACAGCAGAGAGCTGGACTGGAAGAGCAACTGGGACAGAATCTGGCGCCCCAACCGGGACTAGAACCCAGTGTGCTGGCGCCGCAGGCAGAGGATTAGCTAAGTGAGCTGCTGAGCCAGCCACTACTGTAGTTTTAATGATCTGTGATTACTTTAAAATTTATGACAATGGGTGAGATGATCATTTTTCCATTTAATTATTGTTTATAGCTGTTTTCTATATTCCAATTAGGGTCTTTTTGCCTTTTACTGGTAGACTTTTGCAAAGTCTTAAGCCTTTTCACTGTTTTATGTGAGTTTAAAATGTTATCTCAAAAACTATAAAGAAAAAAAAAAAAGAAGGAAAGAGGGTGGGAAGGAGAGAGGACAAGGGAAGGAGGGGAAGAGAGGGAGGGATTATCTCATTCTTGGAATTGCATCTACAAAGCACATTGAATCGTTAAAGACTAATTAAAAATTTTAAACATTAAAAAAAAAAACAAAGAAAATAAAAAGTAGATGGAGACCTGTGCTGTGGCAGTGATTAAGCCGCTACCTGTGGTGCTGGTATCCCATAAAGGCAACAGTTCCAGTCCTGGCTGCTCCACTTCTGATCTGGCTCACTCCTATGGCTGGGGAAAGCAGTGGAAGATGGCCCAACTGCTTGGGACTCTCTACCCACAAGGGAGACCCGGAAGAGGCTCATGGCTTCGGATTGGCTCAGCTCTGGCTGTTTCGGCCACCTGGAGAGTGACCCAGTGGATGGAAGACCTTTCTCTCTGTTTCTCCCTCTCTCTGTCTGTAACTCTGCCTCTCAAATAAAAAGAAATAAAATTTTAAAAAAATAATAAAAAAGTAGAGAACACTCACCTAAATAAAAATGAGCTCATGAAACCAAAATACTAATTTTTGCTTCATGCTATTTTCTCTACATTTCACATAAGTTTTTAAATCTGTAAGGTTTTTTTTTCTATTTGTCATTAATTTAGAACAAAAGTGCACATTTCCTATACAGATACCTTTAGGCCTATGATTTATTCTAGCCTAAATGTGAAATTTCTGTGGATTCCCCTGAGAAAAATCAATTTTCATAGTAATTATAGATCCTTCTACTTGTGCACTTGGAGATCTGAAAACTAGCTAAGTAACTGTCTCAGGAATTATTTTGAAGAAACTGAAGAATCCAAGTTCCATTAAACTTTAAGGCAAAGTAATGTGACAGTTATGCATGGTGCCCCCAAATCAATAATTATTCCCACATTATCTTCCTTGCTCTATGTTAATTTAGCAGGCATTAAACCATCTGAAATCAAACGGATACATGCATCCACTCACTTCTGGTCCAATCAAAACTGAATTATCTATCAACAGAGAAGTACGCTTACAAGTGTGAAACCATTTGACCATGTTATATTTTAATTTGCAGAGACAAAAATGACAAGCAATTTATTTACATAAAACTGTACAAAAGCAAATTAAATTATGTAAAGTATTTCATAAATAGTTGGACGAGTGTTTAATACATTTCGCCATGTTTAGCATAGTTGCGTGCATAGTGACTCATAATAAACGATGATAAATTGTTCTTTGCTTCACTATCAACATCCAAGTAGCAGAACAATAGTCAATGATTACCATTACAGACAGATCGTACCACACTGAATGCAAGTGCTTTAGAATGTAGGAAAAGTTGTCTGAAAGTAAACCCCGGTAGCTGGAAAAAAATGATGCCTTCCTCCAGATGTTCTTTACACCTCTGCCTGTGTCACAACAAACAACCTTTACTATATACGCATGATCGTCTTTTTGTTTTTGCTTAAGGATGCTTCATTTATCTCTCATACAGTATGCCTAAAATGATTTAGGTTTCAGATTCCTCACGAATCTGATGGTAAGTCAGATAGGATGGCTGTTTGCTTCTTGGCAGTTTTGGGGTGTGTGTGTGTGTGAGAGAGAGAGTATGTGAGCGTGTCTGTGTGTTTCATTTTCTTTTCCTATAAGACAGCTTCCCAGGGTAGCCTTTCAGGCAGACATCCTCAGTACCATCTTAGTTCTTGCTCCCATAAAAATAATGCCTCCCTTGTTTTCTGAAACTCAGGCAGCAGGCCAGTCAGAAACCATGCAGAAATGAGATCTGGAAATCCAGAATGAACAGCAGATTCTTAGACTGAAGCTGTAGATGTTTTAATACACATAAATTTATATAGTTATTCATTAAATTACAAATGTGTCCTAATGTATAATGCATGCAAAGTTTGAGATTTTGTGTACAGAAAACAAGTATGGTTTATATAATGTAAAAATAATGACACAGCAACTGAAATAAAAGCAACAAAAAGAAATAAAGAATAAAAATTCAAAACCAATATTTTACCTTGCAAAATGGACTGATTTTACCCCTGATAATATCTCTCAGTGTTACTCTTGCAATAAAAGCTTTCACCTTTTAGTGAGCTTTAAGCAGTCCATATTAACATCTTAATTTTGTTTTATGAATGAACAATATTTAAGACTGGTCCATTATCTGAGTTTATCTGAAGGCAAATTTTTAATATATTATTTATTATTTTCAGAAAATAAACATGGATAAATATACAGGATCAAAAAAGTTGGGAATAGCCCATTTCCCCTCATTGTCCAAACCCAACAACCGTTTTTTTACCATAACAACAGGTATAAAAGGCACAGTTGCTTATTTTGCATTCACTCATTTATTTATTTTTTTGTGTTTTTATTGATTTTTTTCAAAAGCACTCTATATATGGAGTGGCACCAGATTTAACCTATTCAAAATAAAAGTCATACAAACACAAAATATATTTCTGTGTCATGCCAGCTCATTATATAATAAACATGTTATGATAGCTAATTCTACTAGAATTACTGCGAATACTTACAGTACACTGAATTTTATTCTGTCACACCCATTTTAGTTCTAAAGAGAGGTTCACGAGTTAAATGACAATGGCATGGCTGTCTTGAATGGGGTGCAAATGTCACGGTGGAATGTGGATCCAATTAATCCGAAGGTCCAGTGTGACCCGTATTAGCTTTATAGACAAGAGAAGGGTTTTAAGATAGTGAAATGAGCTATCTAGTGCTTTCAAGTGTCTCATGAAAGAAAAAAAGCATTAAAAAAGTGTGTTGAATATCTGTGTTATGCAATTATTTCATTTGTAACGTGCAAGAAAAATATGTATACATTTCATAAGTATCTTTAGAAGTATTTTGTCTTAATAGGTACTTACAGATTATACAAGGCAGAACTGCTTCAATGCAGTTTCCTAACAAAGTACTAGAATTGCATCTTTCCATAGTGTAAATAATAATCAAACAGAAACATGTTCAATTATTGATATTTTAGTCCAATGTCCTTGTTTCAATTACATATCTGTTTTCATTCTACCTATTATACATAAACTAACACCAAAATGAAAACTCGATTTAAGAAAGAGCATAAGGAAATGACCCCAAAAGAGTACCCCACCAAAGAGAGAAGTGGTTTTCAAAGATAAGTATTTTGATGACCTATAGTGAATTATCAACCCAAAGTCCAGGCTGCTTCACCTTATAGTCTAAGAAGTTCTGTAAAGCGTGAAACTACCCAAAGCTAAATTGTTTCTACAGTATGCTAGAGAGCCATCAAGGCTATGCCTTCACCAGTTCATAAACACAGGGATGAGAACGTCTGCTCTCTTGACCTGTTATCCCCATTTCTGTCCATGGATTGTCACTTTCATCTGAATGTCCCAGCTCAATTTTCAATTGTTTTAAATCATCCTCCACAGAGCAAGTGGCTCAAAATCTGCATATTCTGTTTCTATTTATTGCACTGAAAAAAACTCCATGTTTTCCATCTCTAAGATGCATGTACCGTGAGAAATGTCACTGCCCAGAACTCATTTCTTTCATGTTCAGTCTGGATTTGTATACGACATATTAAATAATGTTCAAATCACAATCATGACAAAGTCAATTAAAATGTGGCATAGTTTCAATGTTGTATCAAAATAGTTCTATATTATACACGATTCAAAATTAATGCACTTGTGTTGTATGGAAGTGTGCATTGATCAAGTGAAAAATGCAATTATAATTTGAAATGTGGATAATAAGATTAGGAATCATTGTCTGGGTTCTAAAATGGTAATAGTGGACTCAACTAATAAGAGTGTATGCCGATGTATCTTTTTCTGTCCCTACCTGACTACCCATAAATACTACTTTAAAAAGTGGAGCCTTCCCTGATCATATTCTCTGAAACTAAACTTGAACATCAACCAAACCTATTTCAATACCAAAAATATGTCTTATTAAGTATTTCATTTCCAACTTCTCAAATAAAATGCATATTAAAAGAAGCATGTTCTCTGAGTTTAGAGACAATATAAAACAAACCAGTATTTCAGAGTTTCTGTGTGTGCATGGTTCAGTAGCCTTTCTTTAATAGATTTCCACATCAAGACCAAATCAACTTCATGATTTCCCTGATCTGCCGTGTGATCTTTGGCCTCTTAATGACACAATGGTTCAAGTTAGTTGATAATAATGGTCCTGTTCTGAAAAAAATATATAATTATTACAAGTCATAATTAGTGTAATTGATATATGTACTCAAGATTGTGTGTATTCTGAGAATATTCGGTGACTGTATGTAATTGAAGTTGATGCTCTTGACCTGAAAATAATAACATATGCCAGTTTGGGACTGCCATCCCCCTCTGAGTACTGTTTAGCTCTCAATCTTTGTTAGAATATTAAAGCTATGATCTTTCCAAAATGTTTCTTAATAAAGTCCCCTTTGACAAGGCCATACTTTTAGAGGGACTCTGTGATTTTTCAAAGGATTGCCTTTGATGGAGATAAACCATATTCTGATGATGGCATGTGTGGAATATATTTACCTGCCCTGCTTTCTAAACCAGCCGATGACACTCGAACAAAATCAAAGTGACTACAGTCATGCTTTAGCTTAGGGATAATGAGAGTGTGTTGTGTTCTGCTAATCAGGCTTGTTACCATGAACAAACTTGCAACCATCTTTTTTTTTTTTTTTTTTTTGGAAGGGTGTTGGGGAAGAGAGTGGGTATTGGGAGTCAGTGAAGGGGTTAGACATGCAATAACAAGGATGGTTTCTACATTGTACATTATCATCAGGCTAACAGTATCACTAAAGGCCTGATCTGGAGGCAGAAGTGGCAGGCAAAGCTTTGTCTCTTTGGTAGCCCCCTCTTTGTGATTACATGGTTTTGCTTTGTAAGGTTTTTGCCCCATATTCTCCTTCTCATACATGAAAAGAACTTTGCTGTTGCTCCTTGATAGCCTACAGGTAAACTTCTCTTCTAGTGAGAGTATTGACAGGAGATGGCTTATATTCCCCTGTTTTTGTCAGGGGAATATCCTCAGGGTTGGCTTCCTCATTTTTGCTGAAACTAGCTGCACTGAAGGTCTCATAGGATGAGGTCAACTTTTTGTTCAGGAGGTTCCTGTTGCGGTCACCCATGATAGCGGCCTCGCCATTGGCCAGCTTTTCCTGGCTTCCTCGTTCATCAACAGGCATGAAAGTAGACAGTTTGGGCTGACTCTTCTTCCTCTCAGGAGAAGTGCGGACAGGCATCCAGCAGGAGTCTGAGTGGCCATACTCATCACACTCACGAGTGCACTTCCCAGTCAGGGCTACATCTGGAAGAGGCCTTGAATCTGGAATCCAAAGAGAAGACGTCATGAGCGTTAGACACTCTTCAATAGGCTTTCCTGATTATATGAAACTACTGTAAGGGGGAAAATATGCATAGATCCCTTACCATCCCCAACATCCTGCAGCTCATCACTGCATAGAACAGTTTTCATTTCATATATGTTAAAGATAAGGCTTTGCGAAAACATCAAATATTATAATAGAGAGGAATGGACGAAATGATAAATATATGTGTGTGTGTGCATGTACAGGGGCGTGCAGTTAGTCTAAACTTTTTCCACATCCACAAAAATTATTAAACCCAAATAGATAATTTTCTGTATCTATAAATTATCCCAGAAACGGTATGCATTTGTCAATTGGATTTCTTCTTGCTTATCCATTATTCATGGCATGTAAATATGCAAAACCTTATATTTAAAATACATGTGAAGACATCGGGGTGATTCAGAAGTAGAACCTAAATTGACAGCACATTATGTGGCAAAAAGTAAAAATGCAAAGTAGGTTATAGGTATGAGCATACCAGCAATATCTCCATCTGCCCACCCTAGCCCACATCCTGCTCTCCACTGCCCCCCACCCCCTAATATGTGCTATAGGATAATATCTTGAGTATCTTGAGTGTTGACATAGAAATATACTTGCTAATGCATTTGCTGAATGGAAATATTATCTGAAATGTAATGTACTGGATGAATGTAGTCAAGTTCCTAAACTCTGATAAATTATTCCTAATTAATGTTGTTGCCCAACGGAGTGGGACAATCTTCCATTTGTAAAAAGCTAAATCATATCTAGGAAGTTCTTAGGGATCAAGATTAGAGATGGCAGTTAAGACTTACTTGTATGCATACGTAAATCATTATATGTATCTGTCTTTGGAAAATGATTATTGTTTTATTAATATTAAAAATTCTTTTTTATATTTTATGTTTTTACATGACAAAGAATAAATAAGAGACATAAAAGCTTACACTATCTAAATGGATTGTAAGAGAATAACCTGTAGGGTTTCATATATTTTATGATTTATTTTACTGCCAAACAAAAGAACATATTATAACTATACTTTAAATATATCATATGGAATCATTTTATTAAAAGACCTGGAAATAAAGACAATTTTTGACCCCTGCAAATATAGCCACAGAATGGAATCAGTGAGATTTGCATATGCATAATCCTGGGTAGATTTAGTTTGAAATAGAAAGGGAGGGATATTTAAATTATTCTAAATATACTTATCCCCTCTGTTTTTGCTTCCACACACCTTCTCCTATAGTTTAAAATTCAGATAGGATGTTTCAGGAGTTTTACTCCACCAAATCTCCTAAATCAAGGATTTCCAATAATGCATGTCATTTTTCCCTTCAGTGATGGATAACTGAAATATTGACATTTGTCAGCCCATCGATTCTTGAACCACAGTGGCCTGAGATTTTTATGCCTTGTGATGAGAGTTCACAAGAAAAAGCCAGTGTTCTTCACAGGAAATCTGGAATTACTTTACTCTTTCCTGAAGGTAAAATATAAAGATAATTATTTATTGCAGGTGTACATGTTTTGACTTCCAAATGGGCAGATCCTCTTAATTTTATCATAAAAAGGGGGGAAAAATCACTTTCCAATTCTTTTTATCATAATAAATTCCCTGTGTGCCTTTCAAATATGCATTTTAAGAGAACTGAAAGGCCAGCTCCGCGGCTCACTAGGCTAATCCTCCGCCTTGTGGTGCTGGCACACCAGGTTCTAGTCCCGGTCGGGGCACCGGATTCTGTCCCGGTTGTCCCTCTTCCAGGCCAGCTCTCTGCTGTGGCCAGGGAGTGCAGTGGAGGATGGCCCACGTGCTTGGGCCCTGCACCCCATGGGAGACCAGGAGAAGTACCTGGCTCCTGCCATCGGATCAGCGCAGTGCTCTGGCCGCAGAGCGCCGGCTGTGGCGGCCATTGGAGGGTGAACCAAGGGCAAAGGAAGACCTTTCTCTCTGTCTCTCTCTCTCACTGTCTACTCTGCCTGTCAAAAAAGAAATCAAACTATTGATAAATTTAATGAATGGTTAAATGAGTAAACTGCAAATTCCTCAGGAATACTTCCTATCTTGGGTGCTTTGCTTTCTTTGAAGCTAACCTAATTGCGTTAAACAACAAAAACAACAAAACCTTTAAAAATCAAACTGTAAGCTGGATCTTTTTACTCTAAACATTTCCTCTCTTTTTTATGACTTTAATAAATTCAAACTTCTGTTTTTTCTTATCATAGTACATATCAAGGACACATGAAAATAATCAGAAATTCAGTTACAGAAATAGGAAAACTCTTTACAAATGTGGGTGTCATTCCTTGCAGAAATGACCCAGAATTGTCTTTGATCATTTCTCTAAGTTTATTTATGTCTTACACAATGTGTCAGTTCACTCACACAATAACTTGCAATGGTGGCTGCTTTTCAGAGATTCAGTTGTGTGTTTAGTATGAAATTCATTGCACTTGTTTTCTCTTTGAGATGTATTTAGAAAGTGTCTGTAAAGTTATATTATTGTCCTAGCATCTCCTAATTTTTGTTGAACTTGTGTATATCTGAACCACCTATTGCTAGCTCATCAGAAATTATATTCATTTAGACTAACTTAATTTCTAATCAACTATAAATGAGATACTCTTCAAACCTTTCCTTCTATCTTCATAGTCTGGAGTGTTTTGTGATAAAACTGCTGTCCTCTTACTGCTTTTAGCGAAAGGCAGATTGTCATCCACATGTGGCTGCCACATCTCTATCCAGGAAGCATGACTTTTAATAAGGATCTCCTGTCATTTCCAAAGTCAAACACTTGATTGGGGACCACAGTGGAAGTTGACAAGCCTAATTGGCTGAGACAGATGTAGTGTTTGTCATCAAGTTTAGAAAATAATCAAGAAAGGCTATAAGAGATTCATCATAAGCAATCAAACCTTCCAATCTTGATGACTAAAATGAATCTTCAAAAGAAATGCTGATGATTAACAAATGCAATTTGTATTATGATGCAATTTATTAAGGTAATCCATGAGTGGAATATTATTTTTCTGTATTCATATATTTCATTACTTTAACTAAGCAGGCATACATTACAAAATTTTCAAAACACAAAAGGGTCTTTTAGAATCTCAAATACAGTTTTTTCTTCCTTCCAAGAAACACATACCTCTAAAATGTTTGTGTTTGTAGGATTACTAATTTTATTTATTTATTGCTTTATTTATTTGAAAGGCAGAGAGACAGAGACATAGAGACAGAGACAGACAGTATCTCACATATATCAGCTCACTCTCCAAATGCTCTGAATGTCCAGTACTGGGTTGGGCCAAAGCTGGGAGCCAAGTACTCACTCCATCCAGTGTTCCACGTAAGTGGCATGTATCCAGCTACTTAAGCCATTGCCTGATGCCTCCTCTCAAGGTGTGCAACGGCAAGTAGCTGGCATCAGGAGTGGAACTGAGATTTCAAGGAGGCACTCCAGTATGTGGTGTAAGGTACGCAAGCAGCATCTTAATTGCTGCAGCAAATGTCTGCTTTTGCCCTTTTTTGGGTAGGACTACAGAGGCAGATCTTCCACAACTAGTACTCTCCCAGCCTTTCACTGAATGATGTTCTAACATCTGTGAAGATTATTTTGTGCTTCGGTTTAGTACTGCTTTATTTTGACCTCAATGAAGGTAGAAAACAGCTAATCACAAGTCTTGTTGGTATTGTGTAAACAATACAATCATTAAATGTGCTATATGGAATTGTACTTGTATTCTCTATAAACATTTTCTACAATAAAGCCTGTTCTTTACAGGCTTTTCATTTTGTGTTTTCTGCCTCCCTCAATCGTATCAAACTTTGAGAAGTCTGACAGAAGACATGGTATTCGCTGGATGCTCTTCCTTAACATTATTTGCAGGATTTTTCTGTTATGTTCTGTTTTCTTTCTTTTTTTTTTTTTTTCCAGAGAGAGACATACAGAGAGAGAGAGAGAGAGAGAGAGAGAGCTCCCATCTGCTGGTTTATTCTGAAATATATACAATGGCCCCAGCAAGGGCCAAAGCAAGAGCTGAAAATGCCATCCAGATCTCTGATGTGGGTAGAAGCAACCAGTTCCTTGGCCAAGAAGCTTAAATGAGTAGGCGGAGCTTGAAATCAAACCCAAGCATTCTGATGTGGGATAAGGGCATCTTAACTGCTCAACTGAACATCCACCCCAGAGTTCCCATTAGTATCTAGTTATGCTATTTAATAAAATCATTGTGCCATTTTAGAAGATCAGTCTTTTCTTAGATATAAACTTAATTTCCTCTCAAAAGCACCCACTTTTAAGCATCATAAGAGCAAACAATCTCAGAACAATTTATAACATGGAGAGTATGTCACCATAGCTCATTCCTTTCACTCATTGCCACAACTGAGCAGCAAGGAGAATGGAAGCAGTGAGTGGGTCCAATCTGTAGGAGAGTGGAGGTCAAAGACTAAGTGTTTTGCTTTTCACTTTAGATGTTTCTATTACATAAATTGCCTCTTAAACAGCTAAGTTATTCACAGGTCAATTACTGCTACGCATAGCCATAAGAAAAAGCTAAAGTTCCCAGAGAAAGAGGGAAAAAAAAAAAAAACTGAACAATACAGAAAGTAGATACTATGCTTTTACTCTTAATAGAGAGTGGTAAAACCACCTTAAAACAATGCATTTCCAAAGTAGTGAAAATCATTAATTTAAGAAATCAGGATCTCTCTCTAAACAAAAATCTTTTTGTTTTCACTATGCAGGGTAGAAGGTTGGATGGTGGACAGATGTTGCTCGATGTTGTCTCAATGACCTCAACAAGAAGTGACAGATAATATAAGGAATCATCAGAAATAACAAATCCAGATTTTCAGAGGCATTCAAGTTTTCAGAGGTCTTCTTACAGAATTCAGAAACCATTAGAGGCATCATTATGATAGGTCTCATTAAGACTTACAAACAGCCCTACACCTGCACAG